TWWYSGCCAAGGTTCRSGTTCAAATCGGGGCTMGGGCAAAGWGGATGGACGTCGTTCTASATCTCTCACTTGTCATATGAAAGGTCTTCAAAAGGTACGTTAGTTTTCCTTTAATTGACAGAACAACCAACTATAGTACACGCTGACTATGGGTGTCGGATGTATTCGTATGAGTGGGAAGGAAATTGGCTTGGAAGGGGAGCTAGTGTCCTATTGTGTATTCTCCCTGCCATATTGGCAAAATAATGAGGTTTTAATATTAAGTCAAGTATTGTTTTTTGTGTGTGTGTGTGTGTTGTTGTTGTTGTTTTTTATTTTTTTTTTTAAGTAAAACACTTCTTGAACGTTTTAAGACACACAGTTTCGATTGCCTGCATATATCGTGTTCCCTCTCTTCATATATACGTGAATGTTTGAACAAAGCAGTAAATGGAGACATGCAATTAAGCGTTACGTTATGAGAACACAAAGATTAGCTACCGGATATAGCTCATGAATAAAGTACATTTATACAAACACGTTTTTAAGTGTGTCCAAATCCTTTTATCACACAAAGTTAAAAAGGCAAACTGTCTGAGAAAAAGGAAAAGTCATTATATTCAATAAATCTTTTAAACATCACAAAACTGATAAATAATTGGCACGCGAATGGACACTGTGTAGTTGAAGGGCACATCACGTCTTCATAGTTCCTCTTTGCATAGTGAAGATGATTCACTTACCATTTTCGTCGCTTTGATGAATCTTCCACTTCTGAATTTCTTTCCGAAGCATTAATATTTTAACATCTTGGTCTTTGAGCCTCAATTCCAGTCGAACAAATCCTATGGCACACAAAACTACACAAACACAGCAAAGAACTGCGAAGGCTATAAAAGCTGAAACCAGACGACTTGACGAGTCGCTCATCCATCCCATTTTGTTATATTAATTGACGATATCCTTAATAAACTCGACAAGGAAACTGAGAGCAATTGTCGTGCAATTCATTGAATGCTTTACCCATTGAAACATAAATAGTCACTTACAAAACCCTCAGGCGCTAGCGCTTCTCGCTATCATGGCCGAATGTCAAGTTCTTCTACACACAATAGGGGGTGAGATGCAATTACCGAGATCACTTACAACTCAAGCTGGCAAAGATTCACAAAAAACAAGTTTTTCTAATGGTAGAAAATAGTTTTCTCATGCGTTTTTCAGAGACTATTGTTTTGATACTGTCTGTTTGTAAAACTAGGCCATGATGGAATTATAGCAAAAGTTTGTAAAAAAAGATTGTTTAATTATATAGAGGTATGAATACATGCCATTCAATACAGCATCCTACTTTATTTAGACACGTATACGAACGTAGCTTCGCACTAGGTGACTTGTATTGATTACAATCGTATGAAAATATGACTTACTTCATTGTTAACTCCGTCCCCTCAAAATTAAATCGCCTACATCGAAAACCTGTGCAAATAGTAACATAAACGAAAGTTCTTACCTCTATCTAGAAACTGAAAGTTTTCGGCTCTCAGCCTAACTAAAAAAAGTCATGTTATTCAAAATTCTCCTGGTGTAGGGAAATATTTTCAACAAGGCCTTTGACTTATAAGGAATTTGGCAATAACACTAGAGGTAAAGGTGTAGGTATGCACTTAGTCTTAACTAGGCATTTTTCATTCGTATTTAAAAATTCATCAACTAATCTATTCGGGAAACATATTTTCACACTTTCGCACAGACGCTTGTTCATGATCATCATTGAGCGGCCAAGATGGTTATAATTAGTGCAAACTGTTTAAAGTTTGATTCTTTGGATTTTTGAAGCATATATCAGTAAACAATTCTGATTGAGCTGAATGCGTAATTGCAAAATAAAAGGATGTTCCATTAAAGGAGAATCCTTGGATTGTGGTTTAATACTTTAACACCTGGGAACTGTTCTTAARCATGGATTCTCGCTATGGGGCTCASAATGTGCAAATCTATAATTTGTCAGAAAGCAAATTCTGTTATCGGAAACGCTCATGATATTTGGTAAAACACGGATGAACTGCAAACTACAGCATACCATAGAACKTTCTGAATGAAAACCGATCAACATGTGTTGCGGCGGGAACAAGTCATTGACTGCACAAGTTCATACTTATAATTGCTCAATTTCTTAGCTTTGATTCTTACAGAYCTTTATATTATATCTTGCACAAAATGCATTATCATTTTT